ATTGGATATTACTGGAATCGATCAGAAAGATGCGCAAAAATACATCATATCTAACAGGAAAGTATCCAAATTTGTCGATCGTTTCCCGCTCGGAAGAATATGAAATTGAGCGGAAGTCATCGAAAAAATCCTGAAACTTTCCCGTTCGAAATACTGCTTCCGGTTTTCATCGATTTCTGGTGTTGTTCTTCCTGAAAGGAAAAAGCTTCGTAGATAACTCGGTTCGATCTAACTCGAAATGAATGAATAAGTTAGGAATTTCTAGAACCGAAAATCTTAAGAGTTTATAAGTCCATGTTGCCATTTGAATGAGATATAAAAATTTTTATTGAAATTTCTTTAGAGTACTATACAGTTTTTTCATCACATAAATAAGATATATGATGGAAATATATTGCATGATGTATAACGATGGCAATAGTTGCTACCGCTATTAATACCATTCGAAAGTTTCACCAAACCTCGACAAAATAGGAATCACACTAGTGCAACTGATCGATATATCTGAGACACTAATATTCTATCCCAGTAGTTGTTTCATCAGTGGCTCTTCTCGAATCACTATAGGAGATGCAGAGTGAAATATGAATTCGAGCTTCTGTTGTCACAAAACTTTCAAACTCATCACTATTTCTAATAGTTTGTTTTAATGAACACAACAAAATACTATGTATTCTATTTTAGGCAATTGTTATATTGGCTTATCTCTGTCAACACAATCTCGTATTCAATTAATATCTGATCCTGGTACTCCTTTTATTTCTAGTGGTTATTCTCCTATTATTAAAATCTCATCTAAAGTATGGGAAGATTCAAGTTCAACAATTATACAAATGAATCAAGGTCTTGTAAGACGTTTACAATGTTTTAAAATAAGTGAAGAACGTTCAGCTTATGTAACACATATATTATATGTACATCGACGTCGTCCATCATTAATTATTCAAGATATTGATATTATAAATCCAAGTGATCAAACATTAGATCTTGATTTTCAACAAAAAACACAAACATCAGGAAAGGGTGTGGGTGTGGGTGTGTGGGTCTGGGTGTGGGTGGGGTGTGGGTATGGGTATAGCATAGACCCACACCCATACCCTCCCACATCCACCGTAAATTAGAAAGTCTCGTATTTTTTTTGAATCATATATTTATCTGCTATGATTCACCGGTTACATATAAGAGCAGTGTCTATATATGGAGGAA